AAAAGTTCAGCCTATTGTTGTTTTAAAGCAACTTATTTACCTTCATTTCTTATCATGTTGTGCTGGAACATGTTTTATAGATTATTAGAGTATTATCATGAGCAAATTTATACACCAGAAGACAAACTTAACGCTCGTTTTTCATGGTCTCTTTGTAAATATTTAGTTTCTGTGTTTGTCCTTTCAGGCCATGGGTATGGGGGTCCAGATGTTGCCTGGTAAAGGTCCGACCTTCACCGACCCGCTGAAGGAACCCGAGGACCTGCAGCGTCTCCAGCCCAATGTGGACGTCAACAAAGAGCTGGATTATGTCTTCAAAGCCATCACGCTGACCAGACACAAGATTGAAGGCAAAGTTCCCCTCATAGGATTCACCGGAGCTCCGGTGAGAGAAAGTCACGACCCGCTGCTTTGTTGATGTCTAGAGAAACAAGTTAAACCCTTGTCGTTCCACAGTGGACCCTGATGGCGTACATGATCGAAGGTGGAGGTTCCAACACATATTCTAAAGCCAAGCGTTGGCTCTACCGGCACCCGGAGTCCAGCCACATGCTGCTGAAGATGCTGACGGATGTGATTGTAGAGTACCTGCTGGGTCAGGTAGCAGCAGGAGCACAGGTCAGAACCATTTTAGCCTTACTTCTCCTTTACAATTACACCGCATCATCACTTGAAATCTATTTAGTAAGAAGATGATTCGTACTGTGAAGGGGAGGGGATGTGAGTTACAGGGAAAAAGGTTATTTTCTGCTATTTTTGCGGCAGCTCCCGCCTACTCTCTGCAGGGAAACCGTTTTTCTTTATATCAGCAGGAAATACTGCTGATCACCATTTTCCTTTTGATTTCCTAAAGAAATGGACCAAAGTCCTGAAACACAAAGCTGCATTGTTATGGTTGAGTCTAGAAAACTATATCTTGATGTAATGATATTATGACTTTACTATTTACTGTGTAACACAAATAGTATTAAAAATTTAAATCCCTCCAACTTTATGACGGATTGGCATGGCATGATGCTGGGATCTTCAAACTATTGATTCTGCATAGTTTGTTTGGACTCACTGTAATTGCCCAATACAAAGTGACATAATGTGGTTTTCAAGAATATTCCTTAAAAAAAATCAAATTCTATCTTGGTTTGCTTGTGAATTAAATCCTCCTGACAAGGAGCTTAGCATGTTTTTTGTCAAACACATTTGCACATAGAGACTGAAGTTCTGAGTAGTGGTGGCCTAGTGGTTGGAGCATTGCGCTTGGGTCCCAGAGGTTCAGAGTTCAAGCCCGACTCCCACGGACTGCCACTCCCTGAGTAAGACCCTTAACTCTGCACAATGTCAGCCCACTGCTCCCCAAGGAAATGCGTTAAATGCAGAGAGTTAATTTCCTTGCTTTGTGCTTGTGATGATAAAAGTTGAATTCTCTTCTTGGAATTCATTCTTTTCTTTCTATACTAGGAATTTATCCTTCAATGTTCTAAGGATGTCTCGATCCAATATCGACTAAAGAACTAATACCGGATAATATCGACCGGCATCTAAAATCTCTGATATTTTCATGCTGATAGAAACACTTCTGTTTTTGTAACTCATTGGTTCATTTTAAATGGGTCCTTTGGTTGATGACTTGAGTTCTCAGTTTTAGTAACATAACTTCTTCAAACATTTTCTAATCAACAGTACAAAATAAGTTAAAAAAAATATGTATGATTTATGCTACAATCATATCGGGTCAATAACTATATCATACAGTATAACATTATAGCTCTTTCTGTATGTTTAGCTTTGTCATCCTCCCAGAAGGGGAGGTTTCTTTAACCTCCATCCATCCGTACCGTCTCCCCAATAAGTCTGAATTTACTCATCCCCTCATCATAAGACTATCTGCACTACCCCCCATCATAAGGATAGATTAGCATTGATCTCTGCTATCACAGCCTCTATTTTCACTTCAGATTTTTTTTTCCTGCATGACTTTTACTTTTATACTTTAAGAAGTTTTAAAAATTGACTTTTATACTTTTACTTAAATAAAAAGCTTAAGTTGATACTTTAACTTCTATAAAAGTGTTTTTAGACAGCAGGATTTCTACTTCTACACAAGTAATAAATATTAATACCTCTATGGATTTTACAGAGTAGGTGTTTTCATAACCGGCACACAGGACTCTTTCTACTAATTAGGTGACCACCAGAGTTAATCTGGTCGCCATGTTCATTCAGGGATAAAGACTGAATGGGACAGGGTGCGAATGTGTGCCACACTTTTTAGATTTTTGTCTGTAAAATGTGTTCAGCGTTTAACTTTGACTTCACATTTATGCACCAAGCTAAAGATTAAAGGCAGGACATTGAACTACTCCAGCAAAGGGCTCTGGTTTCTTCTCTCTGTCACACATATGATTTAAGATATGTCTTATTACAGCTTTATTACAGTGTAATATGGAAAATTATACTGTTATGACATATTTAGTGACTCATGCAATGTGTCTGTTACTCAACCACTTGCAACAAGTGTCCTCTGCCTACATGCTTATGTAGACGATTACTGGAAGAGTTGTTACTCGGAAATCATGAGCAGCTTGACTAACGCCGAGTGGACCCAGCAGCTGCTGCAGCCTGATTTAATCGACTGGACATTGTCTGGATTTTCTGAAACAAAATGCTGATTTACTGTAAAGATGCTGTTTTTTTCAGACTGTTTAACTAGATCTTTAATCTGCCGACTGCTCTGTTCTCCAGGCTCTGCAGGTGTTTGACTCCCATGCCGGCATCCTGGGCCCGGTGGAGTTTAAAGAGTTCTCCCTGCCATATCTCCGAGACATCGCTCGCCGCGTCAAGGACAGACTTAAGGAGAAAGGACAGGATGTTCCGATGGTGAGAGACACCGTGTCCAGAGATGCTTTTAGATCAGTGGGCATCATCTGATTAGGTGCAAACAATTCCCCAAGAACAACACGGAGGCTCTAAATGCATGATCTCATTTATTCACTGCATTAGTGCCTGCGATTTAACAAACGCAGACCTCTTGTGTTCCCTCACCAGCATACTGTTTCTAAAATAACACCTAATCCCTAATGGGATCAATAAAAATGATGCCAAATTCTATGTACCTTCATCACCTGTAGGTGGCAGCATTGCATCAAAGCTGGATCAGCATGAGCCATCTTTACCTCTTGATGTCTTTTGCTATTCCAGATTGTGTTTGCGAAGGATGCTCACTACGCTTTAGAGGAGCTTTCAGAGTCTCACTACGAAGTTGTGGGGCTGGACTGGACCATTGACCCCCGATCAGCACGGTAACACACAGTTTATAGAGACTTCTACTGATCCCCACCCTTTGCTGCTACATTTAAATTCAGTCCTTCTGTTTGGTTTTACTGGAAGCAGCTAAAAGCTTATTAATCCAGTTAAAGCAGAGATCATGGGTTTGTTGCACTCTCTAAAACAACTTTCCTCCCCCTAGTTGGTCTCTGGCTGCAGGATTTAAGTCAACAAACATATGTGCTTCCTGCTTCACTCATCAAATACTTAACCTGTTGGTTAAAGGATTAACAAGTTTGTGTGCATGTGTGTGTTCGTTCAGGGAGCGCACCGGAGGGAAGGTCAGCCTGCAGGGTAACATGGACCCCTGTGCTCTGTATGCTCCAAAGGTAACCTCTACTTCCTCAATGTTTAGAATTGCATATTGACAGATGTGAGGCTCTGATAAATGAAGCAGTTTTCTGCTTGGGAAAAGAAAAAAAGAAGTGTAGCCATTTATAGCCTGGATCACTGACAAAAACAGATTAAATATACTTCTTACATTTCTTGTTTAAGCCATAACATACATTTCCACTATGTGGATGTATATGTAGCGCATTTTATAAGGATACACCAACAGGGAGTAGCACATATTTGAGGTTCAGTCCCTTGTGCAAAAACAGAAAACATCTGAAAACCTACCAACTCGTTGGTACACCTGCAATGAGAGGCTGCATGCATGCAGCCAAGAGAGTTGTGGTAATTCTGGGGGAGCTGCAGAGATTCACTGCTTAGGTGGGAGAAATTATTGGACTAGTGCTCTGCAAGCCTGGTCGTAATGGTGAAATGGCTGAAAGTTGACCTAAAACACTACTGTATGGGCGGTGAAAATTGAACACACCATCCAAACAGTAAAACAAAGAGGTGGCAGGGTCATCCTGTGGGAAAGCTTTTATTTTTAGCAGGGAATTTTCAAAAAAGAAGTTTGTTCATGTCATGTCGTTGCTAGGGAATAAACAGCGATGGCACAGTTTGGAGTTTTTGGTTGTAACATGACAGAATTAGTGGCAGGAAATTTTAAAAGGGTGGGAAAACTTTTTGGGACAGGAACTATAAGTCACCCCGACAATCTTCTTTCTAAGAAGTAATCCTCTAACCAGCTCTTTCTCCACATTCCTCGCCTGCAGGAGCGGATTTCAGAGATTGTGAAGAAAATGTTGGAGGGTTTTGGGAGGAAGGGCTACATCGCTAACCTCGGCCACGGCCTTTACCCCGACATGGACCCAGAGAGCGTCGGTGCCTTCATCGAAGCCGTGCACCAGCACTCTAAACTCGCAATCAAACAAGCATGAGGACAAGATAGAGAATGTATATTATTAAAGATGTGGAGAAGAATGCATTATTTAATAAAAAAATCTAAACCTGTATCTTTGTTTAAGTAACAACAAAAACAACTGTGTGAATCACTGCTAAATACAATCACATATCGTGCAACTGTTCAGGATAAACATGTTGCTTCTCTAAGATGGGATATTTTTCTCTTCATCCATGAGGTGTTTATCCAACCAGGAGTGGATTATGTGCTTGGATTGAAAAGCAATCAGATGATTCTAGCATGTAGATGTACATGTAGAGCTCAGCTGTACCATATTAGTGAAGATATTTCATCTGTTGGAAAGCTTGGATGATGAATATTTTCCAAGTATTATGTTTTTGTTTTTTTCAGGAATGTTACTGTAGCACATATAAATATATAAAACACTGAAATACTTAAGTATATTTAGAGTCTATAAGCTTGTCTTCAGGCAGAGTAGTTCTTTTGAAAAACAAATGAGGGATTTAAAAGCCCTGTAAACAACAACAGGTGATTTGTTTTAAAGGGTTTTGTCAAGGGAGCTTTTGTTAAAGTAAGAAAAACATATTTGCTTTTTTTTGGGAGGAAATGTCAGCACACAGCAGATGTTGATGACTCTGCTGCCTAACATCCTGACTGAGCAACTCCCCCTGCTGAATCTCAGCATGGGAAGAGTCACACACACATACTTCCCTTACCGAGAAAACAGATAAGAACCTACAAATCTTGATTTTTGTGTGGTCGTTTCCAGTCCTGGTTTATTACACCTTAATTTTTTTTGGTTTTTTTACAATGAAATTGCTGTCAGTTTAAAGTTTGAGCCTTAATAAATGTGTCCAAATTCAAACATCTTACCTAAACATTAACCTCTATAGGAAGGAAGTTGGGTAAGATGTTCAACAGCATCCAATGACTTAAACCTCAGAGCCTGAAGGGTGATGCATGGTGATCACGAAAGAAATCCACTGGGACCACAGGCGTAACTTTCTGAAGGAACTGGTGTGGACATGTCCCCACCAATAATTTTAATACATAGACTTTGGCAATATGTGGGACACATTTTTTAATTTGATTTTGCTGCTTTTGAAGGAGGATAATCACTGATGTAGCTGAAAGAGAAAACATCGATCAATCCACATTTTTCTAGATGGATTGATGGATGAAACTGAAATTGTGTCCATACTAGGGAGGCTTGATATATTGCTGTTGGCATCAGAATCAGCTGTTATTCTTCCTTTTTTTATATACATTAATGTCTAACTACCTATAAATATCAGTGTATTTTGGTTCTTTTCTGTTCTCAACAATAGGAAAGCATTAAATAAATATATGTTTGAGCTCATTTTTGAAAAATATAAACCCTATTGAAAGCGTTTGTGTTGAGTAACTGTAGGTCCATCAGCCGCCACCCTTAAAGTGTCCTTACCAACTTTCATCACAAAGTAACACCCTTGGTTGGGACAAAAGTCATATATATATATATATATATATATATATATATATATATATATATATATATATGTGTGTGTGTGTGTAGGAGTAAATTAAGGAAGAATTCAATTGTGATTTTCAAGAATTTTGGCACCTAAGGTTAAACTCTAGAAATAAATGTAATTATTTTAAGGTGTGTTGAAGCAGTACTTGACCTCTAAGAACAGCAAAACTATCCTACGTAACATGAAGACCTGCATTAACCTGAGCATGGTGGTGGTATAATGATGCTGAGGCTTTTTTGCCACAGGAGGCAATTATGCACGGTACAAGGTGAAAAATAATTAACAAAATCCTTAAACCTTGGATGGTTAAAACTGGCTTCTGGGATATTATTTGAAGAAGCTGATGCCAGACACGCATCAAGTCTAACAGGCTAAAATGTCAACCTCAGTGACAGTATACAGCCTGTTTTTTGTTTTTATTTTTTAGATGTGTGAGGAAACCAACCATTTTTGAGGAGAAAAGTGATCAAATATCTCTATATAACTATGCCAGGACCGTTGATGGTCGAAACTCGGGGACTTTCTAAGGGACATTTCAGAAAATATTAAAAATTTTAGTCTTGCAAGTTTAAGAAAACCTTGTAAGAACGGTGTGCACCAAATTTGTTTATTCAAATTCATGGAATGTCTTTACTCTGTCTAATGAAACTCAAAGAGAATTGTTGAAGTTAGATCCATGCTGGTGGAGGGTAACTTCTGATGAGCAGGGTAGGTTTAACAGAGCATAGGCACCTCACATCTAGTAAGCTTGAAGCTCTGAAAAATTCTTCTTTTTTGAAAAGAAATGCCTTGGTAGAATCTGAAGCTAGTGTTGGGATGAAAAGGAATAAAAAAAAAACTTGATTGATCATGTGTGATTCAATAGCGAGACCTGGTTAGGAAAGTGGGGCACAGACACGACTCTGTGTTGAAACTGGGACAGGGAGTAAGACAGTGTCCTGCCTGAAGGTGTGGGAGTCTGTTTTTAACAGCAAGTCTCCAGTCCTTTGAGAAATGCTCTGCAGTAAAGGGGCTATAGGAGTAAACAGCTCAAGTAGAGCATGATTTTTAGTTTCTTAAGAAATGCATTGAAATGATTATGAAATGTTAAAATGCTCCTCTGATACATCAGTGGATCATCTGTGTTTAAGCTTAAAATGTCAGCAAATAGTGATCGTAACATTGAAGCGCTTCCACTTCCACATAACCCTAAAAACACAACATTTATTCACACCGCTGGCAGTTTGCTTGATTTAGAACAAAATTGGATTGAAATTGGCAGAAGTGTCAAAAGTAATAAAGTTTATTACTCAATTAGAAGTATAAATTCTATGGTTTAGAAATACTTTTGTTGAAGTTAGAGTAACAAATTAAGCTTTTTACTCAAGTAAAAATGTAAAAGTGCCATTTTTAAAGCTGCTTGGAGTATAACAGTAAAAGCATTGCAGGAAAAAAATTTTAAGGACAGAAGCTTTACTGCATTAGCCTATTAAAAGAAAATCTTTCTACAATTCTGGATAAAACTTCCTAAAACCTTATATTGGTTATTGAATTACATTAGGAAACTTTATCTGCAATTCTGGATGTTTCTTATAATTAACTTTCGTAGTTTTATAACTAATGCTAACATTATCAAATTTAACTTTGCATCATCTTGAAAAAAAATATTTTGGTGTGTTGCGAACAACAATTGGTGCTGAAATGAGTTCAACTACAAAGAAATTATTGTCCGGATGAAACAAATCATTTTTGATGTTTTGTATTTTTTTGTTTAATACCAACAGGCCATAACTAAAATGAGCTTAAAATAGAGTCTATTTTTAGATTTTAAGGAGTAGAAAGTAGAGATACTTGCAAAAACATGTATAGAGTAGTTGTCTGAAAGTAAGGAGCTGTCTGAAAAATAATTACTTCAATAAATTATAGATAGCCTAAATTTCTACTTAAGTAAGGTAACAATTAGTATTAGTCTGTGATTGGAAAATAAGACTGCATCTCTAACCATAATTGTGTTAAAGATAATAAAAACAATGCGTTAAAAAATCAGTGCTTTTTTTCTAATTCATTTGAATAAAAAGCAGGAAATTAAAAGCGCTTTTAAGGTTGGAATGTTTCCTTATAATATATATTTATAGGTAATCTAGAGTTTTCCAGGAATAAATGAATCACTTCCTGTTTCCCTGTAGTGTAAATATGACACAGGGCTGGATTTTTGTCACAAGGCCAGATAATGACCCGCTGACAGAAAGCAGAATGAAAAAAAACGACGCGCCAGTATCCACCAAACAGTTGTTTCACCATCACCAACAGGTTTGAACATTTTAAAAGTTGTTTTTTTTTTTTACCATGCTTGTTTGATTTAGTATTAATTTAAAACTTACAGTAATTAAGTGATTTTTTTTTTTCAATAAGATTTTAACACACCTATTCATTAAACTTTAAATACAGGAAGTAAGAGACTGATTGTGAGGAATAAACTGAAAAGGTTTCCTAACCAAAGAATAAAAAAACACTAAATAAGTGTTTGCCTCTTGGAAAAAAAAGAAAAAAGGCAAAAAAATTCCTGTCTAACATGACAGAGATTTCATCTTGACAATTTTGGACTCTTGTCACAGGGAGTGAGATGGTCTGACTCAGTGCCATGAAAGCCTAAACATATGGACAGCATGGTGTAAGTATACTATAAGCACAGTGGAGGGTGTGTGATGCAGTGGGTTGTTTCTCCTCCAAAGCCCTGGAAACCTTACATTATTTCTTTAATTTGCAATTTTAATTTAAACAAAAATGTTGGGTGCAACGAGCAAACAAAACACTTTTTTGTTGTGGTTGAGCATAATAATTATCTAAAAAGAACACATCAGCGAACCAGCACAGAAGTGATTAATCAAACACAAAATTGACCGATGGGGTGTCGGATGTAAAACCTAAGAAACACATTAGAGGAGAAGACTAAATGGCACCCTATTGGTTGTACAAAATGTTTTAAAAGCATAGGCAACATCTATTTCTATCTAGGCATCTATTTTTTGCCCAAGAGAATAAATGTAGTGAAATTTAAGGTTAAATTTTATAACAAGAAACCTGGAAACATAAAAAGTAAATATAAGTTATTCAAGGTCAAACAGAGTGAATAAAAATCATTAAGAAACACAGTAAGGTTTGCTGTTTGAAATAATACCTTAAAAGGAAATGATCATGTGAAACTTTGCATTCATCTTTTCTGTGATTAAATAAAGGAGAAATGAAAAAAACTTAAAGTATTATCAACACCCAGACAGTTGCCTGGAAGAATTCCAGGAATTTTTACGGATTCTAGACCAAGAATTAAATTACCACCAAGAACAGCAAAGTTCAAAGCAGACATACACATGTGTCTGTGCAGAGAAGGTCAAACTTAGAAACATAATTACATGAGTGTTTGCAGATTAAAGCAAACCAGGGAATTCTCTGAAAAACCCTCACATGAAATGACTTACCGTGTGAAATGGTTCCATTTTCAGACAATTTGCTTTAAAACAGTTTTAATAAGCTGAAATCTAACTTTCCTGAAATAAAACCAGACCCAGCCAGGATACGATCCGGGACCCATTCTCAGCTCTCCTGGCCTTTTTTTTTTATCCGTACCGGATTTGACAAATGAATCAATTGGGGAGGGGGGTTAACAAAAAGCTCCATGTTATTACACAGAAATGTACTTCATTACTGGAATCATCGCAGAAGCTCACAGAGGAGATCAGTTAATCCAAAAATTCTGTTTTGCTCCGGGACGCAGTTAAGAAGAGTAGATAAGCTGATTCTTCTAAATCCGTTTGTTTTTGAGCTGCTGCTGATGTTTTTGCCATTTTGGAGGAAACCAGCAAACATCACGTGACCAGAATGGGGGGAAAGAAGAACCTCAGGAGCCCCTTCCCCCCCACAGTCACACACTGATATATCTAAATTATTTATGTGTTCATTTTTTTTTCTTTGTTGTTTCCTTTTTACCTTAAAGTTTAACTTTTTTTGTAGTTAATTTAAAAGCAGACAAATCATCAGAGAAGTTATTTGTTTTTTTTTTACCAAAACCTCTAAATTGTTAGAAAAACAGACCTTAAAGGCTATTTTTTACTTTTTGGCCAAAAACTTAAGTCTCGTCTTGTTTGCTTGCTTTTAACAAATGAACAGTGTAATTCTCCACATATATTAACTTTGAATAATTCATTTTTTTGTGAAAGTATTTCTAATTATTTTAATATGTTTGTTCTCTTAATTTGTGCAGCGCTTTGAAATATTTTTATGTTATTTTATTGTGTTATTGAAATAAAGTAGGTTGATTGGTTGATAATGGATTCCCCTGTAGTTTGATTTCACCGTCTGCTCCCTCTTCCAGTGGATGAGAGCCACCACTCTAGTATTCCAGTAAAAAAGCTCATCAGGCCCACCATGACCAGGAGCTTGGGCTTATTGTGGGCCTGGGTGATGATGAGCGAGTCCAATTCTGAGTCCTCATCCTCTACTCCCACTAGGGAAGGTGTGATAAACTGAGGAGTAGCCGTTCCATTGAGATCAGCAGCTCCCCCACTAAACCTTCACTGAAAAACTGCTGGCGGAGCAATTCCTTCGCCTGAGGCGTTGCATGGTTAGCCATTATCGCCTCCA